CTAGCTGTGAGAGAGCCAGAAAAGCTAGACCAGATACCAACATGAGATTGAATGGGAACAGAACTTGGCACAGGTAGCTGGTTAACGAAAGTAATTCTATTGCCTACGAGGATACTTTATACGAGCCTTATTAAATTGACTACGTCACGAATTTTCTATGGTAAAATTTGTTAAATTTTTGTTGCCACTTTTTTACATTAAAAGTAAGAACTAACGAGACTAAACGTATCGTCAAATTCTTACCTGATAAGATTGTTTCTCAACTAGTAAAAAATCCAAAAAACTGGACGATTTGATATTAGTGTTCCTGACATTAATTGCTTGCTATGGGCTATGTATGCGTCACGAGTGTATGTTCACATCAAACAATATAGTAAAATAATTTATTTTTTTTCTTATTTACGGGGACGTAATCACTTCCACTTTTTCACAAAATATAAGTAATTCTGTTCACTTTTTATGGTTAAATTGCTGCATTATACTTCCTATTTTACTATATTGTTCGATGTGAACATACTCTCGTGACGCATACATAGCCCATAGCAAGCAATTAATGTCAGGAACACTAATAGCAAATCGTCCAGGTTTTTTGGATTTTTTAACAAGTTGAGAAACAATCTTATCAGGTAAGAATTTGACGATACGTTTAGTCCCGTTAGTTCTTACTTTTAATGTAAATAAATGGCAACAAAAATTTTACAAATTTTACCATAGAAAATTCGTGACGTAGTCAATTTAAGAATAAACGCATAACTGTACCGATTCTTGTATATAATAAACGTTAACACCGCCCAGCCAATTCATAAGCTCAGCTAGTCCATCAAAATTATCAGTCTATCAGAATAACTTACGTTTACTATTCATTAAAATACACGTAGTAAATGTGATGAAATACATCTGGTTGTCCAGGATAATTGGACGCCTGCAGGTCAGTGTGCTATTAGCTATATATAAATATCAGATATGTATGTATATCCGAAACGGCTTGTCAACTTAGTTGAAGTTAGATTGACTTTTTAAATTTATTATATATGTTTGTGTGCAACGGTTACGGGTAACTTTCTATTTTAGCAAAATATGTTTCCACTATCTTATCTAATGCGTTACGAATTTATTTATCTTATCCCCATCACGGGTGACATAAAATGTACTGTATATTATGCCACTTGTCCTTATCAATGCAGCCATGAGATTTCACACAAAAAATAGACAGCCACGATTAGATTTTGAGTTGCATATGTAGTCGAGGTTTGTGTTGGATAGCGGGATGTTTGACTAAATAAACTACATGTAGGACTTTACTCGCATTTGTAGATAAAGACTTACATTCACTCTTATTACTTATGTAGTCACGTGACTTGACATGAAAGTCACTAAAAATTTTGTTTTAGGAAAAATTACACAATCAACGGATAGAAAAAAACAATATAGCAAGTAGAAACAAACAAGTAATTTGTTGATTTGTCTATATTTTACTCACGTTAAATTCACAATAACTTTTCGTGTATAAGAAGCCGGAAAATTTAACAGCACTAGATAGCAAGTCTCTGAAACTCACGCACACATCACAACTCACATGGCAATTTATACAAAACAAGTAAAATACACAGCGAACGTGAGGTCTCGTTGTTCAGAACAGATTTCTGCTCTTCAAAAACTAAACACGGTACCCAGGAATGCTACACCTGGAACAAACATTTACAGGTGCAATATAATAATACCGACAATTTTTGACATATTAGCTTATAGATTTGAATCGGCAGGCACTCGTATCACGCGTTCGCATTGTCAGGCTAACAATCTCATCACCCCCCCCCCACACACACACACGCGCAAAATCCCATGCTATGAAAATAACAGCCGATAATGTGAAACATTTAAACCGCGAACGAAGTACATTGACCATTACGGCGCTGTGTAGTAAGTATAACGATCAGTTTTACTGACCAGGGGTCCGTTGCCAGAAACAAAATTAGTCTTAACATTTGTCGTAAGTGCTACCCTAGCATTAACATTTGCCTAAACTTCACGAAATTTCTGATAACGGGCCCTAGTATACTAATTCGACAAGATTGCACGACTAACGTCAATACACTATTCTTCGATATGTCTTTCGATGTAAGACTGCTTCTTGGAGCTAGGCATCATGTAGCCTGGATAAGTAAGCACCAAAGTTACGGTCAGAGCAAATTCATTACTACCTGTATTCTGGTAGCACTTTGGCCCGACCACGAAGCGAAAACAACATCAATACGTAATTGAAGTCTTTTGAAGCATGACCATTTCTTGGAGTTAATCGTATCTTTCATTGAAATTAGACGGAGAAATCAAAGTAGTGCTAAAGCGTGATGGAACTTCTACACATACTGTATCTGTTCTCAACACTAACGGATCTCCAGGCTGCATTTTACTGCAACTTTCCTGCACATTCACTGTATTATATCAGTTTAGATTAATGACATTGGGCCGCACAAAAGGCGCGAGCATCGCCGACTAGGTTTAAAGTAGCATTCGGGACATGGACCATCTAGCAACATTAAAATTCCTCACATTTACGAGCGTTGTACTTCATGGCTGTTAGGATCGTAGAAGCATTGTTTCTTACATACCTAAAAACTTGCCCAAGGTTCGCCAACAAAAACAACTCTGCCAATAGTAAATCGATGAAATACTCAGATTTGTGTGCCTGTTAATGCTTCTGTGTATCGATCTAGTTGTATTGATAACCCAATTCAAATTTGGCTGAAATGCAAAGACTGTTCACGTGACACTTCAAAACTTCTGTTTACCCAACAACCGTAAATTACATTGTTAGATGCCAGGTCAACCACCAGGGCCGGCACCAGCAGCCACAACAGTTACATACCTCACTAACTGAACGTGGCCCTCACGCTGTTACAACAATGCAAATATTACGACAAATTATCGTGAGCTGAATCAATAAAACTAAATACCATGATTAAATGGATCGGTTAACGTTGTTTGAGCAAACGGCCGCCTTCTCATACTCGCATGTACATATTTAAAATCGTAATATCAATGACTACGCGTGAGCGGATCATGTTTCACTCCACATTACAATCTCTGCTCTCCGCAAATTAGTTCCAACTGAAATCATCAGGCAGTGGCCACGTAGCATGTTGCCAAGCCAACTCGATTCTCACTGCGAAACTCGGACTAAGTAAGCCCACACAGGCATGCCGAATAATATCACACGAAACGGAGTTACCGATTCGCATTTGGCAATGCCAGGGCCGTACGTAGCGCGAGTGCAGTGCGTACATGAAATATGATCCCGTTCTACTTGCCTTCATACCAGTACGAGGTATCTGTCTACTTGCCTTCATACCAGTACGAGGTATCTGTCTACTTGCCTTCATACCAGTACGAGGTATCTGTCTACTTGCCTTCATACCAGTACGAGGTATCGGTCCCCCTACCACGAGACCGGCTGGCCAGTAGTTAGTTCACGACCATCTACGCAGAAGTAATTACCAGACCCCGACCCAACCTGTTATGGATGACAGCACCACTCTACTGTCACTCTATCCTTGGTAACAGCACCATTCTCCTGTCAACCCATCCCTGGTGACAGCACCATTCTCCTGTCAACCCATCCCTGGTGACAGCACAAGGCCACTGTCACCCTATCCCTGGTGACAGCACCACTCTACTGTCAACCCATCCCTGGTAACAGCACCACTCTACTGTCACCCTATCTCTGGTGACAGCACCAGTCTACTGTCAACCTATCCATGATGACAGAATCAGGTCACCATCAATCTGTCTCTGGCGACAGCACAAGGTTTCTGTCAACCAGTCTCTGGTAACAGCACCAGACTATTGTCACTCTATCCCTGGTGACAGCACCGGGTAATTGTCAACATACCCTTGGTGACAACAAGTTACTATCTTTCTGCCCCTAGTGACAACACCAGTCTACTGTCAGCCTGTACCTGATGACAGCACCAGGTTACTGTCACTCCATCCCTGGTGACAGTATTAGCCTACTGTCAAAAACCTTTCATTGGTGACAACTCCAAGTTACTGTCAACCTGTCTCTGGTGACAACTCCAGGTTACTGTCAACCTGTCTCTGGTGACAGCACCAGGCTCCTGTCACCTCGTGCATTACTATGGCCTTCGCGCGTGTTTCGCGTCACTCCGTGCAGTCCTGTGAGCTCGGGGGAAGGGAAGAACGTTAGGAGATGCTGGAGAATTCCTGCAGAACGCGTTCCTGCGTGACGGCGGTCGTGGCGACGTGCGTCCTCACGTCCTGTATCACGCTGCGCACCTGCAACGCACAGCCGCGTAAATCATCACGACGAGACTCGGACGCCAGGCGTGGGGGCGCCACTCACGAAGTGCGCAGAAACATCGGCGCAAGTAGTAATGACATCATAAGTAGTTGTGACATCATACGTTGTTATGACATCATAAATAAATTGTTATGATATCTTGAGTAGTTATGACATCAGGCCACAATTAAAAAAATCTTTGTTTGCCCTCAACCGACCCAGGCTGACAAGTTTGGTAGGTAGGTAGACTTCTTTTTTTTAGGGCGGGGGTCTTTTTACAAATTCAGCATGGTGTCTATATGCTCGGATGTGCTTGTGTGGAGATACCTTTTATGTTGAATGTTTGTTTTGCTTGGTACATATAATGTATTGCCTACAGATTTATATAATGTACAGTGATACAATTTGTTTGTTTTTTAAATCAATAAAATTTGCCCCTTTTTGGCGAGTCGGTCGGGTGAGGGAAAACAAACAACATTTTTATCATGGCCTCACGAATCTAAAACGTCACAAGTCTTGATGTGAAAAGTTCGTGTAAAAGTCACAACATTTTAGACGTACAATATTTTAACGACTTATAGGATGGTTCCAATAACGCGACTCAAATGTCAGGCAACGTCAGGCGTGGGAGGAAATGATTCATCAGCTTGTTATTCAAACATGAAACTCGGCCCGATAAACGATGATTTATCCCTAACAATCGATTAAAGTACCGATTTTTACGTCAGCACGTGATTCCGCGGACGATGCTCTCGACATTCGACATTTGATTTCGCGTGTTTGCTACATCAGCGTGTACATTAACCGGGGTTAGTTTTTTACACTGCTCACTCACCAGCTGCGTAAAGAAACTCGACTCTTTCGGTTTCTCGGAGTATCTCTCGAACAGGTCGAGACTATCATGCAACTTCAGGGTCAGGGTGTCGTAGTTACCTCTCACCACTTCAAGAACCTGCACAGCAAACAGTGTTAATTGGGGGTTGGGGGAAGAGAGGGGGGAGAGTAAAAATGGACATTAATTTACCATTCAAGACAGCCGAGCATAACTAATGGAAATGCTACATCCACGAATGACACCGCATGTATCGTGAATGAGTTAAAAGATTTACTGTCGACCTGCTTCAGTACACTCTAAGTTGCAAAACATCATACAGTTGCCTTCCATTTCATATACTACATATAGTGACACTAACTGCACTGGCTATTACAATAGATGTTCCAGTGCAAATACACTCCTTTTTTTACACACTCTTTGTTCACGTGACAATTGTACGTGCATACGGAATCTTTTGAATTTAAAAAACAAACGGTGTCATACGACATGATTATATTACTCATGGTAAGAACGCCAGTGGGATTTTTAATCGATATTATTTTACCTGTTCTTCAGTCAATGCAGATAGATGGTTAACGGCTGCCCATGAATCTATCTTAGGGTTGAAATGGTTGATGATAGCTCTGAAACATGATACATTACTTTATGTTGATGTATTCACATTTTTACTTTTTATTATATTTAATTTTGTCCAAAATATATGTATACATATGTATGCTTGGTTTAGCATACATTATAATTAACTAGAATAGCATGGTAAATGCTGTTGATTGAATAATATCATTACTTACCTGATGTTCACCAGGCTATTTGTCAGCCTGCTTGCGACCTCTTTATACTCTCCTTCTGTCGATGTATACCTCAGTGCTGAAATTTACCAGTTCTACTCAAGCACTTGCATTCCACAACAGCTGCTATTCTTTTCATAAAATTCCTTTCAACAAATTTATCGACCCGGCATAAGTAACTGTTATATACTGAATAAATAAATATATATTATCTTGTCTACTTGTCTTATACACACGAGGTATCTGTCCCCCGGACCACGAGACGGGTCTGGCAGTAGTTAAGTTCACGCACCATCTACGCAGAAGTAATTACCAGACCCACCAACCTGTTAGGATGACAGCACCACTCTACTGTCCACTCGTATCCTTAAGGGTAACAGCGCACCATCTCTCTGGTCAACCATCCTGGTGACAGCCACAAGGCCTACTGTCAGTTTAAATAGATTCGACATGACCATTAGCAACATTGAAATCCTCACATTTACGAGCGTGTATTCATGTCTTATAGGATCTGTAGAAGCATGTTTCTACATGAGCAAAACTTCCCAATTTCCCTACAAAAACTCTGCAATAGTAAATCGATGAAATACCAGATTTGTGTTGCTGTTAATCTTGTGTTATCGATGCTAGTTTATGATAACCCTAATTAAATTCGGCTGAAATGAAGACTGTTCACGTGACGACTTCAAAACTTGTTACAACACTGTAAATTACATTGTTAGAATGCAGGTCAACCACCAGGGGGCACCAGCAGCAACAGGTTACATACCTCACTAACTGAACGTGCCTCACGTGTTACCAACATTGAATATTACGACAAATTATCGTGAGTGAATCAATAAGAACTAAATACCATGATTAATGTATCGGTTAACGTTGTTGAGCAAACGGCCGCCTTTCTCATACTCGCATGTACATTATTTTAAATGTAATATCAATGACACGCGTGCACCGGATCATGTTTCACTCCACATACAATCTCTGCTCTCGCAAAGTTAGTTCCTAACGAAATCATCAGGCATGGCACGTAGCATGTTGCCAAGCACTCATTCTCACGCGAACACGACTAATAAGCCACAAGCATGCGAAATAATATCAACGAACGGAGTTACCGATTCGCATTTGGCAATGCAGGGCGTACTAGCGCGATGCAGGTGCTACATGAAAATATGATCCCGTCTACTTGCCTTGATACCAGCACCAGGTATCTGTCCACCTGCCTTCATACCAGTACGAGGTATCTGTCTACTTGCCTTCATACCAGTACGAGGTATCTGTCTACTTGCCTTCATACCAGTACGAGGTATC